TTTAGTAATGTCTCCAAGTACACGCATGACTTATTTTGGAATCTTCTTCTGGAATCTTCTCTTAAAAGTTGGGTTGTGTTAGGTATCCAAAGAGGATGTCAACAAGTACTGTAGGGCAAACTTACTATGTTTCTTAGCAGAATTTAGGTTGAATTTACTTGTAGGCGGGACAGTTATACATGCTTCCCTTCTGTGTAGAACTTTACTGTCAGTGATTAGATGGACTGGTTAAGCAGATCAAGCGTAATGATAATGTTGCTGATAGGGCTTGTTTGATATTAGACTTGTAGTTGAAGTGGAATCTATCACTCACCTATTGTGAGGAGCAGCTACCCAGCGGGTGCATAACAAAGTGATACAGCTTTAAAATTCCTGTGTATTCTTTCAAAGAACTGAGAAAGTTAGAAAATGGGAATTTCATAATTACTTAAATATCTGACTGACTTTTTATGTTTTTAAATACATATTATATAGGGAATGTCTGTTACGTCTAGAGATACTGATTGATATTTAAATCCTTGACCAGTAATTCCATCCTCTGGAAATTCAGATATGCAAGTCTGTGTGTTAGAGCTATTTTCTAAGATAGTAGTAGTATTTTCAACAGTCAGGAAAGACAAAACAGCTGAATAAAACAAATTTAAGTTCTTTAAAAGTTAGCAGAAGAATGAGCAAACTTTTCATGATGTTACAAATGAAAGGTTGCACCATTCATGTACCCGAAGAACTTGATTTATATAGATCCTAAACTGTATCAGAGCACTGATTTTAATACAGTGGAAGAAAAATAAAGAAGTACGACCGTATCCACCCAAAGTCATGAATTTGGGCTTTCTGGAACAGTTTGAGAACCAATGGAAATAATGTGCTACACCAAAATACAGAGGGGAACTATTTATGTAACAAAACTTTTGTAAGATAAATTTTTGTGCGTTAAAGCTTTTTAAATGCGTTTCATAGTCTGGTGAGAGAAGAGGAATGGTGTCTAAATGCATAGCCATTCAGTAGCATGAGCATTGAAAGTCAGAGCATGACTGCTAAGAGGAGGAGGGTAATGTTTTACACCACTTACTCTGATTTTCCTCTGTTATGACACTGAAGGTGGCATTGCATTGCATTTTGAAACAGATTTTTGGTTAAAGTCTTTAGCTGGGTGATCAGGAGACTAGCATGAGTTATGAGAACTGCAGAAGTCCGGATGAAACATAACTTTGAATATCAATTATAACTTCACGCTGCATTGTTTGTGTAGATTCTGGATAGACATGGCATTGAGGTACTTCAGGAAGAAAAGCTGTAAAAAGGACATGTAGGCCTTTCATTTGTTTTACAGTGTTGTGTTTTCTTTGGTTGGCAACACAACTCTCAGGTTTTTGCGCCGAGGATATGGCCTTGTCATGTGGTGGAGTAAGCCTGTAGAATTTTTAAGGATAGCAACAGGGTACAGCAAAAAAAGAAGTTCAGACCTGAACTGAGCTTGGTCTACTGTGGACCAAAGTTTGTGTTCTCTCACTTTTCCCCCAAAACAGTAGCACAAAGTCTGTACTTTGGCCATCTTTCCTCTTCATATTTTACAAAGAAAGAGTAGAGTCTGGGTTGTGCTAATGGGCTTGAGTGCCTGTTTGGAAAAGGACTCAGTAGCTGTTTGATGTCTTCCGGTCACTCCAATATGATTTGTTTGTTTTTCCATGCCTAAGCATAGATGCATAATATCCTTGACTTGTGAAGTATATTACTGAAAGAAAAATCTAGTATTTTTTAAAAGTTGTTTTGTGGTATGTCTGACTTTTGTTGTCTTACCTTCAATGTTAAGGTAGTGTTTTGCATAACAACATATATGAGCAAATACATTTTAAAATAATGTCTAGATTTATTCAGTTCAAATATTTGAATAGAAGATAATAGGAAAAAATTGCTTATAGAACATACATCAAGGAGGAAATGAGATAACATTCAATAACTTTAGATGAATCAGATAATATTTTAACTTTCGAGGATTAGCATCCCATACACCTATTAACATACAAGTCAGCAGGTCACTAAGCAGGTCGTTTTTCATGCTGAATTAGCCATTGCCTTTTTAGTAGCTCAGGCTTCTCAGCATTTTTGGGTCTTTCATCAAGCACTGTATGCTTACATCAGAAACTCAATACTAGAACTGGTGGCTCCTTACTGATTTTACTTTAAACTGTTTCTGTTTCAAGGTCATTGTTTTAGAAGTTTCTCCTGGTGGGTTGTCTATAATGTATAGACTGGGAGAGTTTCCAGTTAAGCTGGCACATGAATTTTACAGAGCTTTAAAAAAGAAGAGGTATTGTTAGGAGAGTCATTTTGCCAGCTTCTTAGGAGCATGTGTGAACTGAAATTCTCAAAACGTAATTTCTTTCATTTTCATGAGATTTATAGCTAAGGAGGGAAATTTTTGGGAGGGTAGAAGACAAGCTTTGATACAGGAATAACCCTTCAGCTCAGTTTTCATGTTGTTTCTAAAAGAAGTAGTTTTACAGATCAATGAGGATTTTTGAAAGGTCAAATCACCTGCATCCACAGCCTTATTTCTGAAAAGGTTTTTGTTATTTTTGTTGACTCTGCAGAAGAATTTGACCTGACGAAGATGATCTACCAACTGAGAAATTTCTCTTCAGTGATTTAGCTAGTGCAGTTATAAGAAACAGGATATAGTATTGTCAGAGAAAGATTAAGTCTGAGTGCTGCTGTTAACTCCAGCTGTTATTTATAGTAATCACTGTTTGGATTTTCACCTCTCAAAAGAAAGACTGTTCTGTTAATTAACAAAACGTGGGAGAAGTCCAGATGAGAAAGCACGCTTACTGGGTGACACAGTGTGGAGTCAGGAAAAAAAAGGGGTCAAGTAAGAAGAAAAATGGAGAAGAAAAATATTTTCCATGAGATAATTATGAATCTTCCTTATTCTCCATGGTAAATTTGCAAAATAGGTACTTAAGATGGCTGGGGAATTCTGTGGACTGATTTAGTTAAGCTTAATAATACTGGTAGAAATATGGAAGAAATAAGAAATTCCAATACTGGATGTGTCACTAAGGAAAATATCATTTCTATTAATGATTGAAACGGAAATTGGCAGTGGTGGCTCAGAACATAATGCCTATTTATCCTTATGGAAAACATGACACCTCAATTCAGTGTCAGATAACAATGTGCCAAATATAAAAAGGGATTTTCATTTGGCATTTTAAGTAGTCACTCCTGCTTCTAACTATGGTATGAGGAGAGCAGTTCCTATTCTGGCTGGATGAGAAAATGTCTATAAATGAAATTTAGGAGAAAATGCATATATTTTCTCACTGACTAATATAGTTTACAGTATAAACTGCTTTTTAATTGGCTTTTCTAGTTACTGTTTTGACTTTTATGTGGATTATTTTTTTTTTCCAAAGGGAAAGACTGAATGTCTGTTTCTCTCAAGATAAGCACAATTCAGTTCCTGTCTGTTAAATATCTTTATATTATTTCCTTTTATCATTGTCTTTTCTTCATTTATATAGGTTTATTTGAATGAATGTAGTTTCCAGAAAACATTATAGTTTCTTACTCTAAAATAAATTTCTCCTGGAGCTAGATGATAAGAGGTTCTTTATTTTGTCACTTTCCTTTCAGAAATATGATTTTGTATCATATCCGTAATATCTGTTGTGCTGTTCATTGAATTCAGGGGGATCTGTGGATGCAGTGACATTTGAATCATACCCACTGTTCCTGATGGACGGTTGCCAACATTCTAAAATGTTTTTTTTTCCTGACCATCAAACGAGAGAATCCAGAACAGAATAGAAAGAGTGCTTCAGTTTGACTACTATGGGTAGAGTATTTTAAACTATAATTAAAGACACTACTTCTTTTATTTAAAAGGAAGTATAAAAGTTTAGAACAGGACCCTTTCCTATGCTGCTGCAATTCTTTATTTTAAGGTTATAGCTTACTTAGGAATCTAGTTCTGTCCTGCAGCTCCTGAGTTTGTGTCATGTTGTGACACCACTATTTACTCAGCAGTTACTCACACTGATGGAACAATTTGTGCCTAACTGCTGATGACTACGAGTGATAACTTTATAGTATATAAGCAAATTAATTCTTAAAAAATCTGAGGAATTCCAATTCCTCTGTCTAAAATTGGCCAAGAAATAAAGCCTGTCCTGTCATAGGTTTAAAATAATATGATGCAGCACAATTAAATATGTATAATGAGCATTAAACATTTTCCATGTTGTATATTTACCACTGCATTTATTTAATTTTAATTACATGGTAATTAATTTAATATTAGATGTTCTAAGTTCTTACTTATAAAAATATCTAAGAGTTTGATTTTTGTAGTCTGCTCTGAATACTGTTTTTTGTATAATACTATAAGCCGTGTATACTAGGTATTTTCATTCAGCATGAACAAAATAATAAGAGACTGTCAAAGCTGTTTCTTTATTAATGTGTATTTCAAGAATTTACTGATGTGGTTCCAATTTTTATAAGAAAAAATAGTCTAACATAAAATGAATTAGCACAAAAGAGCAATTGTACTCAAGAAACAGGAGAACTTATTTTAGCAAAAACGGATTACCTGAGTTACCTGTTTTAGTACACGAAATTTTAGTTCTTAATAATGATACTTTTGACAGTGTATTTTTAAACATGTATTAATAGAGTAAATAAATGAATTAGAAATGCAGAATTTAGAACGAAACAGACCTTTTAAGTGGAACAAGTACAATCCAGGGTCTTGGAACCTGTGTCTGTTATATTCTGTCCCACTTGAATATCACCAGGCTAGCTGGAGCAGTAGTGAACTCAATACTATGTACAGTATAAATAATCGTCATATTTTGAGCAGCAAGCATCATGACCAGCTGATATTTTCTTTCCTCAGGACCAGTTGTTCCCAAGAGTGCGTGGCTGGAGCCATATGATCTTATCAACACATTTGAGAGCCCTACCCAAACACTGAGAGAGATTTTGCTGCAGCAATGACTGTCATAGAAGAAAGTCGCCCTTTTGCCCAGCAGCTATCCAATGTCTACTTTACTATACTTTCCCTTTTTTGTTTTAAACTTTTTGTGAAGATCAGCCTCGCTATACTTAGTCATTTTTACATTGTGAAAGGAAACCGTAAGGAAGCGGCAAGGATAGCTGCTGAATTTTACGGAGTTCCTCAAGGACAAGGTATATTTGTATTTGCTATCTTATCACTACTGCTTGGGGTTTTTGGTGTTTGTTTGTTTTTTTTTTTCTGGGTAATTATTTACTTGCTAGCCTAATTTATATTCAGTTTGTCAAATGATATGAATGATATGTGTGAGGGGTTTTTTTCTGTAGTTCTCACTGTTTTTTTTTAAACAAAAATCTGAAGGACTTTTTTTAGATTATTTAAGCTTATTGGGGTTTTTTTTGGGCGGGGGGGGAGGAGTGTTAGGTTATTAAGTTCAGAATAAAACTGAAGTATTACAGACAATGTCCTGTTAGGAGGGAGGCCTATACTTAGGGTGGCTGTACTTAAGATTGCCAAATACATCCTAATCTAAGATGATTTTCCAAATTGCTTCTAGGTTCCCCAGCTCACCTGTTTGTTTTGAATTACCCGTTTGAAATTTTCCACGCTTGGCATGTGATTATTTTGCAACGCTTTTGGTAACAATAGTCCAAATGTTTCTGAGAATTATTTCTTGATTAAGTTAAAATTTTCGTATAATCATTTGTTTGAGAAGATACAGTCCATCTGTACTTTTATTTAGTTAGTGTCTTGGCACATATCAGGAAGCTTACTGTTTGTCAGGGTGGGCTTTTGGACATCTGTGTGGAAACCCATCAGATTTTACTGGGTTGAAAGTTCATGTGAAAATTCCTTTTTCTGTTTGCTCAAGCAGAACTTCGGCAGATCTGGGCACTACTGTTCCCCCAAGCTCGACTGTGGTGAACCAGTACCATTTTCATTCAATGCTTTTTGTGGGTCACAGAATGCAGAAAACTCTCCCTTCTCGATTGTGGTATCCTAGTGCACGACTGAGCTGTGTTTTTGCTCAACTTGGGATCCCTGCTGCCTTGCTTGTCTTTGTTGTTCCTTGTATTCTGGAATGACATCAAGTTTGATTTAGGTGAAGACTTGTTTCTTATCACCTTCACCACTCATCCCTAGGTACCATGAAAAAGAAGAAATAACCCAAGTTAATTGTAGATGGGGAGACTGTAGAAACGAGCCAGAAACGGTTTCAAATGTAAAGATCTCTTCAGTCTTCAATGTTGGGACAAAAGTGAGACATTTTATGTGTATGTATTTAAATTTGCAAACCGGAGAGAGAGGCTTACATCCTAAAGCAGGAATTAGCCTCTTTTGCGGAAGATTTACTTGAGGTGGATTTATATTATGTGTTCTCTGCACAATTTAGAGGGAAAGTTCTAAAACCCAGCGCTTTTTCATCTGAGTATGTTAATCACATAATTTGAACTATTCCACAAGTATGTTTGTGTGTGAGTATATGTACAGATATATATGTATGGAGGTGGGGGGTGTATTCGCTACAGTAGGATGGGAAGGACTGACTGTCCATCCCACTAGCAGAAATACTCCCAGTGAATGTGGTGGCCCTCACTTGCAATCCAGATTTTTTTTTTTTGTCAAAAACTGATGGCTAGCTCTAAGGCAGCTGCTTCTGGGAAGACTGACTCAGAATCTGAGTAAGGAAGGAAGAAGACTAGAGGGAAAGGAATAACATGCATCGGGTTGGAAAGTAAAATAGTCTTTAGGAGACTTTAGTTTGGTCATTTGTCAAATGTCTGAACTATTATGTCTAAATAAATGTATATTCAGCGTTCTAGTAGCTGGCCCATGCAAAAGATGAAAGTATCACTCTTGCAGGTTATTCTTTTGTTCAGGTAGCAGACATTTATATTGATTTAAAGGCTCAAACATAAGGTAGAGTTTCTGGGTTTCTGCTTGGTTTATTAAAAGAAAATAGTTAATGCAACTATTTTGTGCTTGAACTGTACTTTTTACAAGTTGGCACCAATATGTCTTAATTTGTCACTGCCCAACTCAGTGTTTGGAACAGTCCTAAGCACATGTTCAGCTAATGTTATGTGATCTGCAAATTCAGCCATTTGTTGTCATTAACAGGACCTATCCTTGCTCTTTGGGATGCAAATAAGGCTCCTCAAAATTACTATTTTATCTCATCTTTTCTATATCTGTGTTCTCTGTTTGTAGAAGGGGCATGATACTGTCCCAACTCACACCATATTGTGGGATTTGGGTTTTTATGGTTGTGAAACACAGTACAGAGATAATTCAGTACAGTTTATACAATACAATGTAACAAAATATCCTGCTCAAAGTAATGTGTAGAGGATGTACAATAAGTAATAAGCTACAGCTTGTAACATTAAATGATAAAATTAAATATTGAGTATCCTCCTAATTAATGATCCTATTCTGTATTAAGCAGTAGAGAAGCCTCAGCAGGAAAAAAAAAACAAACAAACAAACCAGAAAAATAGCCTATCATTGCCTAGTTGAAGTTTGTAGTGTTTCAAGAAGTAATTCTAATTAGAAGAAATGTTAGTTTTCATTTTCTAGTTTTAACCTGATTCTTAAAAAATTCTTAAAATTCTGTTAGTGCTAGTATTTTCAGTTTGCTGGATACTACCAAATTAATTTTTGCTATTGTAATGGCTTAGCTAGGATGGAGTGCTATAACTTTGAAGAAGAAAAGAGCCTTTGGAAATAATGTGCTATTAGGTACAGGCATTATTTCATGTTTACTGAATTGAGCTCTTGAGTTAAAATAAGCCTGTCTTTTACAAAGCCTGTATAATTGAGGACATCTTAGGTACTGAGCAGTAGTACTTGGTGGCACTCCTTTCATCAAACTGAAGGTATATATGTCAGTACAGGATTTGAGGCCCAAGGATCACACGTTCCATGCCTGACTGTTTTGTGGCTTGTTCTTTGTTGGATACAAGGAGACAGCTTTACCTGTGGCATCTGCCTACTGTGCTCTTGTTGCTAGATATTAGTAGTGAAATAAATACAAGGAGACAGCTTTACCTGTGTCATCTGCCTACTTTGCTCTTGTTGCTAGATATTAGTAGTGAAATATTTTTTTCCTTAATATTTCAGGAATATTTTCTCTCCAGTATGGATAGTCACCAGTCTACTATGTTAAATCTGTCCTTTGGATCTCATATGTATGTGAACAGCTGGGTAGGGATAGCATCCCAATAATTAGAAATTGTTATACTGTTTATGTGACATTGAAATATAAGAACTAGATTGGTGGTCAGCATCAGCTGAGACCAGAAAACTGTGTATAAAATCTCTAATAATTATAAGTCACATTAATTTGTTTATGGAGATGAAGTCTGAGTAAAACTTTTCTTGTATGCAGCTGAAAGGCACCTTGAGAGGTAATTTGGATGCTCTGGGATCAAATATATCAAATATAATATCAAATTAGGCAAATTTTTGTCTAACTTGTTTTTAAAATGCCTAGTACTAGTGAGTTCTGCAGTGTCCTTATGCAACCAATTACGACTTTTACTGTTCTCATCACTAGCTTCTCACTCCCCCAAGACCTACCTAAATATTTCTGCAAACTAAATACATAGAATATGATTAAGCTATTTATCAATTTTTCTCCATGTATGAAAAGTAATCAATTTAAAGACTATTATCATGCATCTTCCTACTTCTACTGTTTTCATCTTTTCTAGAATTAAGAAAAAAATTTAACTTAGTCTGTCCTCCTAAGTCTTGTTTTCTAGACCTGGAATTACTGTAGTTGCTCTCCTTTGGATTTGTGCCAGTTAATATACAGTTCATAGACATCTTTCCTGGTGTCTAATTCCCCATGTTAAACAGAGTGCTCCAGCTGAGGCTTTATTAGTGCAACCAGTGAAACTATTAGTTGTGTAAAAGTGGAGCAGTTATGTCATGTGCCATATATATGATACCCTATGTAATACCTTCTGGAATGATACGCTCTTTATTTTTTACCCCTTCTTTTTTCCCCACCAAAGTAAAGTATTAAGGATACAGTCTGTAGCCTACTATAAACCCCATGTTAAAACAGAGTCACTGTACTATGCATTTGCTTTTTCTTCTCTAAGTGTAATACTTTGTGCTGGCTTCAGCTGACTTCATGCTGTTGATATCAGACAATTTCTCCATTTTACTCAAGTCTGTTTTGAATTGTTTCCCTCTGAGCAGTTGCAGCACCTGCAGTTTAGTGTCATTTACTGATTTTATAAAAATAAATACAATATTCTGTCATCCAAAATACTAAAAAAACTGAACAGCACCAGGTGCAGGATAGAACTCTGCAGTCATTTACATTTGTTTAAAGTGGATTAAAGACCCATGTCTTAAAAAACTATAAGTGCTGAATTATTTTTTCAGTTAAGTCAGTGGTATTACTGCCATAAAAGAATTACATGAAAAAAGGATCCATTCTAGTATAAAAAAAGTCCCATTCACTGGATTATTTTTAACTTTGGCACTGAATTTGTAAACACTTCTATACACATACTTGCCCCATTGAATTGAAAGGGACTGATTAGTTGTTCGGAGCTAAATGCTTTGCGGTCAGGGGCTGTAGCTGTGTTGTAAACAGGTTATGGTGCCTAGCTTTTCTTTTTTTATTGTGTTGAAGTGAGGATGTATTTATTCATTACTCAAGAAAATTTGCAGAAGTCAACATTTTATTCATTTCTTTCTTTATGGAAAAAATCATAGCACATACATGTTTATTCCGTTTTAAAATTCTGCGCCCTACAAACTGACCTACAAAAATGAACGTAATTACAAATTAACTTTGCATATAATTAGCGCCTTAGTAGGCTATGTGCAGTGACAGTGATCTGTACAGTAAGATTCTTCTCTCACTGTATTTCCAGACCTGTGAAGGGTTAATAACTCAGCCTTTTGTACAGCTGTTGCTAAATACAAATTGGAGTATCAAAAGCAACATTTAGACTCTTCCTACTATACTAATTAGCTGGTCATATCATGAAAGTGCTCTGTGTGTCCAAGCACTGAGTTGGAGCTTCAGCTAAGTTTTACTGTTCAGTTGCTTTAGGATGAGGTAGTAGAACTGTGGTATGACATGATTTCGAAGTGTGTGTATCAAATCTTAAGAGTTAATTCATGCTTTGGGTCTGTAAGATACAAG